ATTTACTTTATTTCAGTCTAAAAGTTCATTGTACTTAAGAATAAAGATTCAAATATAAGAACTAATATATTGAAATATATGAATTTGTTCGAGAATGTAAGAATACGCCCAGCTCATTAGACATCTGGAAAACTCGAGATAAGAGTTCCGGAAAAAAACCCTTGATTATCTAAACAAAAACAATTCATAACCACATACGGCGAAAATATGCGATCAAGAATCAAACGAAACACGTCATAAAACATGCGGCGAGAAATTCGACGCGAACACGCCATTAAAGTATCCATCGACGACAAGCCATAATACTTCTGGCATAATCAAGTCATAAAAATATAAGCAAAAACCACCTCGTCTGACATCTGAAAAAGGGATATTAAAGACAACACTGCACGCATACGCTGTTGTCAAACCTAGCTACATATGGCTCGGATAGTGAAGCGAGCACGCGCCAAAGAAGTCCCCCTCATGGTGGGGATGCAAGTAAGAAGCGCTCTGATTGGAAATGCCAAGGAGGCAATTCGTAAAGACCACGCGGTGGCCGAGAATGCTTTTAAGAAAGACGCCGACAAGGTGCAGCAGAGTTTCTTCTCACAAGAGAAGCCGGCAAGGCTTCTTCTCCAAAGGAACGCCAATTAACAAGGATGTAGACATACACAGTAAGGGCCAATTAAGAGGCAAAGCCTAGTCATATCCAACTCATAACATGTACAAGATAAGTGCAAATCAAATCATACACTCGCAGCAATGCAAGACAAGGAAAAGGAAATTCAATCAATGCTACTAACGCCACGACCTAATATACGCCCTTCTGTCCAATAACACAGTTCAAGAAAGTCCTTACGTGTTCAAAAGGAGCGACGACCATCCACATATCAGAGTCCAAAAAAAAGTCGGCAATTAGTCTTCGATCGGTACAAGAACTACAGCAGTTGGAAAAGGTGTATAATGTGCACCACACCTTATTACAAGAAAGATAGTAATTCAAAGGCAAGTACACGATCGAATAAGCTCATCGCCGACTACTATCAACACCGTTGATACCACGACCTAACGAGAAGTTACAATCATCACTCAATTAACCCCACCAAGGTTACCTACCCTGTTGCCCTGCCATGGCTAAAATTAGCTCACCATCGGTTACAGTAGAAGCACGTCCTCGAGTTGACAATGGCTCGGAAATTATGTTCAAGGAAGCTCAATACACCACAGCAACGGTCTGTCATTACCATTCATGGAATTGGAGTATCTATCGCAACGCAGGCTAAGGTGCGGCATCATTCACACTCCAGTCACTGAAGCTAAGAAGTCCCGAGAAGCATCAAACATCAACCTAACCCTGATGAGCAATGATGTGAGGATCATTCAAGGAAACTCATTCTCGACACTCATCAAGGATCTACATCGTCTGACTTCCAATGAAGAAGTTAATCGAACTCCTCGGCAACTCTTACACCGCCGCACATCAATGCCTGCAAGATTTGATAACACGCTTTGTGAGAGAGAAAAAATTATCGCCAATATTAAGAACTCATGCAGACACATAACGATCTCAACCACACGATCAGAGCTTCTCCAGAATCCCAAGACAAATCACTGCATTATCTATTTCATCGATATCTCTCTTCAACAGATATAATAAAACTGTATAGGCAGATAACAGTCCATGAGGATGATTGGGATCTACAATGAATTTTATAGACAGACAAACAAAATATCACGGTGCCATGCTAATTGCCAACAGTCTCATGGTACGCGAGCCGGCCCATTACTAGCAGTAAGAACACCGCCATAATTCTTAGAAGATGAAGGAGAGAAAGACCCTCTTATACTACCTTCCATTGCTCATGGAACACATGTCGACGATATCATTGGAGGTGCGGTCACGCCGCAAGAACTTGCTGAAATCGCACTACGACTGCAGAACCTCTGTAAGGCGAGCGGTTTCCCTGTAGAAAATGGCACTTAACACTTAAGGACGTCCTCACCACCATAAAGGCAGACCAAAGAGAGCAAACAGGAACCAACAACAATAATAGTTAATGAGTGCACAACTAAAATTCTCGGACTGCAATGGAATCCTCAAGAGGATAATTCACAGTGCAACAACAGTGTCCATGGACACCACTCAGGTAACCAAAGGATTGATATTATCAAATATCACTAACAATCATCTCGATCCACTAGGTAATTGCCGGTTAAAAGAAAGGTGAGATGATAATCAAGAATAATGGCTTCATACTATCAATAGGACGAACAACTGTCAGGCCAAGGCAGTCAACTCACGGGAAATAATAGTCGGGGAATAATATTGTGACAAAGAAGCCCGTCCTAGAAAAACCCCCTTAGATATTACATAACGCTGCCTAATTTTCCCATAAACTCAAGTGGCATGAGTCCAACATTAAATTGCCAAATATACATACTTTCCATCGCTTCACAGCTTACATAAAGTCGTGACGAATCATCTGAGTAGGAGGACGGCTGATGAAATCATTCATAGCATACGAATAAAAAACACCCAACAATCTACCACGCCAATTACGACTTTCAGATTTTACAATAGCCCAGGCCCATCTACCATTAAAAACATGGAGAGGCCGAGAGGCAAGGACGCAACAGGCATGGATTTGTGTTTTTTTTTTGTATATTTATCACATCTGCTGTACACCATGTTGTGGTCAGCGACTACTCAACAGAAAGATTCATCGCCGCTTATCGGAGATTTCCATCCCGCAGAAGCATCTCCCACACATTGCATTCAGATTGTGGTATCACCCTTGCAGAAGCGAACAAGGACTAAAACGATTATTCTCACGAAGCTTACAGGAACGTCATAAATTTGCAGCACTGATGTCACCCGATAATGTTCGATGGAATTCAACCCACCAGCTGCATCTCATAAAAAAAAACAAACCAACGTCAACAACCATTGCACGATCCACACATAAGCTAACAGTTCTCTCTATCTCGGAAAGTGAAGAATAATCATTAATAGAATTGCTGATGGCGGGCGGAATGTTCGAGATTGCGAGACCTTTTATCAATGCAATATAACATCTAGCAAAATAATATCGTAAAATTATAGATTTCAAAATTTTCTTGCTCGCAACTATCTAGCAATAGTGTCATAAAACATCTGGAAAAACCCACTCAGTTAGGCATCCGTACGAATTCGTTCCGCTCGGTAATTACTTCAAGCATTATTGCGAGCGGACCTACGAGGACCTACCCCCCTCCCGCTGTCGACAAGTTGTCATGCTGTCGCCAGATGCGTCAGCAATAACGAGAGCTCTTCTTGCCATGAAGACCAAGAGACGACTAGGCCCTTAATTAACTATGAAGCCACAAGAGACGCTGTCCGCGCTCTGTAAGGGTGGAGTCTCTGATTGGACGAAGAATAAGGGAAGGGGTTCAAGTGAAATTCATGGTCAGCAAATGTATTTAAGGGGCGGATTTTTCAATACTCATCACTCTTGATATAACACTCTCGATATAACTCTCAATGCAGTGCTTATTCAAATAAGTGAAGCGGAAGTCCATTAACGCTGCGAAGGGAACAGTGCTTACACGTCCTAGAGGAACGACGACATACACTCATATGTCCACTAACGTAGTTCAAGAAACCGTCGTTACAAGTTCAAAGGGAGCAACGACAATCCGCATATCAGAGTCCGAAGATGCTGGCAGTTTCCTATTAACGCAGTTCAACACAGCTATCATTACAAGTCCTATTGGCGGGCGACGCATTCCAACGACAAGTGTCCAGTGACAAGCCCCCTTATAAGAAGAAAGAACAAGGAGGTTCCCATTTTAAATAAACCAGCAGTCTTCGTAAATAATATTATTATTACCATAATTACATACTTTGAGATTCAGAGTATTACATCGACAAGCAATCAAGGGCGAAGAAGCTCTCCCCAGAGCAACAGTGCGGAATAGATTCCAGTACGCGTCGTCAAGTTCGCGCCCGCTAAATGGGTGTCTTTCGGCAACCCTCACCTTAGTTCAAGTTCGGACGCTTATGAAATTAAGCAACAAACAGCGCGAGTGTCGACGAATCAAGCTTCGCGCCACTCTGCGGTAAAATTCAATCATTACGCTGCATCCGTAACCTCAACCACACACGTGCTCATTCAAACAGCGCTAGTGTCGACGAACGAAACTTCGTGCCATTCTACATTCACATTCAAACAATCGAGCTGCATAGATGAGTATACGTTTTCCACTGCAAACACATCACTTCAACCCAAGAATTATTTCAATTATTAATAATAGTAATACTAATCAACCTTGACATCAATAAATAACAGAATAAACAGCATATACATCAGCCATACTTGTATTGTATTATTATAATATTCCTTCCACTTGTGACCTTTCATCGCTACCACACAACACCCGTGGTCTCTGAGTTGTCAACGGCATCAATTTGTATCCTTCGAACCGGCCTTGGTAAAACAAGCCGGAACGGCGAATACATTTTGTACAAGATGGAAGATTATATCAGAATCTTCATAGTAATATAAAAATAATCTCTGAAATAAAATTATATGAAGTTTTCAACCTCGTATAGTTAACAATATTGACAAAAAGTTGAAATAGAATAAAATAGGATAAAAGAAGAATAATATTTTAAAATGGATTGTATTTATTTTAACAGAATAAAATATTAATATTAATATAAAGTATATACTGAATTATAAATAGATAACATACACCCAGAAATTTATTTTCTTGTATTCAGATAATTATTAAAAAATAACAATTGTATAAAAATACAATTATTTAAATTAATCCAGTTCTTTACTCATCTTCAACTCATTTGATAATATTAAATATTATTTTTTCTCTGTTTAAAAATTATATAGAAAAGAAAACTTCTTGACTTTATCTGAATGTCCAATAATACCGTCAATCGGATTTTATAAACTTTAAAATATATAAATATGTTTCTGTGAGGAGAAATAATTATAAATATAATGATAATGCCAATAATTTACCTTATACTGAAGCTGTGAGCGAGTCAGAGCTGTCTGATCTCTGCGTCCACATAGTCGAACAGCTTCAGTCTCCAGCGTTTCTGTTGACGACTCGGCTTCGCTGACCCAAGCAAGGAATTTATCCAGTGAACGATCAAAATTATGTAATGAATTCATCGCAGAGTGTAATAACTTTCCACGATTAATAATACTGGATTAAACAAAAAAAGAATTCATATTCAACATTTCAAAATTAGATTTCTAATTAAAAATTTAAAATTCCATAGATATGATATAATTAATTCGTTACATCTTTTACTGAAACCAATGGCCTGACGATATGGCAACATAATTTATAAGAAAATTTTATAATACTTAAAAATATATAATTTAATTACAGAATATACTGCTTATAATATATAGATCATTTAAGGTATATTAAAGACTAAACTCAAAAAACATTTTTTTCTATTTTACACAAATATGTATAGTAAAATTTTGATTTTAGATTAGTAAGTAATCATTACTTACCATTTTTATTTACTAATTTATAATAAATCAATTTTTTTTAATGTAGGATAACTAATTCCAAAAATATTCTATTTTAACACTTAGATACATAATATATTAAACTGATTTTCGCTTATTACTATATATAAAATTTAATTATATTTTATCAAGGCTTAGTGTTTTTATTATATTCGTATTATTTACTTATAAGATATAACAGATATAAATAATTAATAAAGAATAGAATTTTCTTATATTCAATAGAATTAATTATTCAGTCTTATGTACCTTTGTCATTATCTATATAATTCTAAAATTTTGTTAAACGTGTAATAAAAAGTATGTTACTATTTGTAGACAAGCATCGTTATAATTATCAGTTTCTTCAATATTATAATATCACAAATATTGTATAAATTGATTAAAAAAAATTAATAAATTAAAAGATAAAACAGTTAATTTATTTGTATTAATGCTACTAGGATAATTCGTTAACAATTTTTCGATACATTTTTACAGCTACTTATGAATAAATGTGAAGTATCATACCTAGTGTTAAGATTATTATATCGCTGATTAATTGTTTCCGTAAGTTTTTTTATACGTGTAGTATCATCTTGCTGATATACTGCAATCAGATTTTGCGTTAATGAATTGAACAGCTCAATTTGATGTTTATATTGATGAAGTTCGGCATGAAATGACTGCAATTAAAAAGAGTTATAATTGTATTAATTTAAATATTTATTACAAAATTTTACGCAAAATTATCTTTTTTAATGTTTTATTTATGCAACTTTTAAATCTAAATATAAATTTATTCCAAGGTAATTTTTCAATATATCTAAAGATTTATAATCATCTAAAGTTGTAATTAAATGGTTCAATTAAATATTCAAAGATTACATTCGGTTTAATAATGCATTTTTAATTTTTTAATTAAGTATTAAATAAAAAATTTAGATTTTCAAAAAAAAATAGAAATTGCGATTTTATTAATTAAATTATAAATAAAATAATACATAATTTCTAATAATTAATCCCATTTTTAAATTCAAAAAGAAATGTTATGAGCGATAATAAAATAAAATTTTACTTCTATATATTAAAGAAAAGAACATTTTAATTATCTTGTAATTAATGATTATGATGTAAGCAGCTGGTTTTCTTTATAAGCTAAACGTCGGTAAACTTATTGTTGTTAAATCTTTTGGAATAAAATTGAAAAAATATGTTTTCTAATAGATCAGTAGAATTAACGTCTTGAAATTTAAATATAAGTTTATTATCTTTTAAATAAAAATATTATTTAACTAATATTAAATATTTTGTACATTATATACTTTTATACATAAAATCAATCAGCCAATGTTTTATACAAATTTATAAATAGTTCTTAGTATTGAAGATTAATTTATTAATAATTAATTTAAATAAAAATAAATAAAAATAATATTATATATATATTATAATAAAATGATTTGAGCATATAAATTTAATCATTAAGTTGATGTTGAATTGTATATATGTATAAATTATATAAATTAAAGATAATGAAGCAGTAATTTAATAAATAAGTAAAATAATCTATTTTGAGAAAAATATTTTTAAAATGATTAAAATGAATATTAATATTTAACAATCTAAATAATTTTATTTAATATATTCATTAATATAATTATGAACTACACTAAAGTTTACTAATAATGCATATTTAATTCGATTTTTTATTAAATATCTTTCTCAGTTAAAAATGTTATAAAGCTTCGAATTAAGCCAAAACGTTTAAGAAAAAAATAAGATATGAATAAGGAAGTCCGAGTGCATCTGTCAAACGAAAATCATTCTACCTTTTGTTCTCGTAACTGAGCTTCCAGAACATCAGCCGTATATCCAACTGCACACATTATTTCCAATCGATTCTCCATTCGTGAAAGCCAGATTTCGACCTCGCTACGCTTCGCATCGAATCGCTGACTGTCGCCCAACATCGCGTCTAATTGACTTTTGCGTTGCAGAACCTTGGAGTTTGTTTCGTCCCAATGTTCGCGTAATTTCGTCACTATAACATTGCAAAATAGACAAATAGTGCATAATTAAAAAGGAAAAGTATTGGATATTTTTTAAAGAATCCAAATTAGTAGAATTGAAATTCGAGAAAATAAATTACTTTAATTTATTTATTTTTTGTTTGATTAGAATTGATATAAATACGTTAAAAACAACATTAAGTTCTATTTTTATTCATTTTAAATTTCAATTATTAATATATTTCTAATAATTAAGAGTATATTTTAATTTTCAATTAATAACTGATTAAGTATTATATTTACAAAATCTTAAATATTTGTCGTAAGAATAAATACTGAATAAAAAACCTGAATAGAACAGTAAATTCAAACAATAATACTGGTTTTACTATTAAATTATTTATATAAACCAACATTAAGCAATTGAATTAATTATCATAATAAATAAATGTTACAGAAGAAATATCAAAATATATTCTAAAGAAGATAGTTTCATTATAACGTTGTAGACACAGTATATAAGGATTACGATATCTATTTATCTATTATTTATAATCAAACAGATCTACATATTTTTCTAATAATATGACTTATTAAGAATATTAATAATATAACTTAATGATTATAATAATAGGAATAATTTTTATTAATTATTATTATTATTAATAAATTATATTTTTGGTTTAATTTAGGCTTTTAAAATCGATTTACAATAGAGCAAATTTTTTTTCGAGCTTTTATTTATTCATCATTTTATTAAAAATAAATTAAGTAAATAAAGTTCAGTTAATAGTAAAGTTAATAAATATTGAGTTTGTTTCTTGTTTAACTTAAAACTTTTTAATTATGAAACATATTTAATAAAGTGGTAAGTGTTAATTACCGAAGAATATTTATTAATATTTAATATTATTTACAAATAAATTCCAAAAACAACATAAAGTTTTAAAGAAAAATTATGAAAAATATATTTTTTTGTGCTTTTCAAAATTTAGTAAATATATTCTATACAAAATATTTAAAGTTTTGATAGAATTATTAAGAAAATAAACAAAACGAATATTTAGTTAAAAATTATAAATTATTTTTAGCGGAAATTGTAATGTAATAAATTAAATAAAGTAAATTGCTTCATAGATTTTGTAGGTCTATTATTTGTAAAATAAGTATGCTAAAAAAAATTTTTTCAGGTTTAAAATTGAAAAATTTCTTTCTCTCTCTCTTTATAATTTGGTGACATACTTATTTGTAACCGCTGAAAAATTATTAAGATTTATTAGCAACATATATGTTGAAAAATTCTTGGATCAGGAAAATAATTATTAATAATATATCTGATTAATAAATTAATAAACATTAATGAAAAGAATCAACAAAATAATCTACGAGAACAACCCTCATGAGTTAATGCATACTTCTATTAAGTGTATGAATGTAAAAATTTCGATTGTGCTATATCACGAATTATGATTAACAAGAAATCATGTTTTATATTGCACACTCGAAAGAGAATTGATACACGTAACTTCAGATTCATATTATTATTATAAACTGCCATAAAATTAAATACAACTCTTCTAGTATAGTGAGAAGTATAATACTGTCTACTTTACTGTTTAGTTTAATAAGGTTTCATTAATGCTACCACATGAAAGTGATAGTCATTATTCAAGGTATCTAAAAAAGCCGTATGTTACCTATTGTAATGAGTAAAACACTTAGATAAAAACAATATTCTTCTAAGACAGTAAATAAAATGAAATGAAAATAATTATTTTTCCAGCAATATTTGTACAAATAAAATCTATCTAGTATAGACTCGGATAGCAAAGAAATTGTAAATACATTTGTTTAATAAATTAATATATTAATCTTAATTTGTTTCACATATATAGAAGGCATACCTATAGTATATAATAGAATTAATTAAAAATATCTTAAATTTAAAATTTGACTCAAATTTGTTATTGTAATTATATTGTTATATAATCGCAAAAAAATTTATAAAAATTTTCAATTTTCTTATTTTAGATTTTCTGATAAGTAAATTTTGGTAATTATTAAAACCTTCAATATCTTCCTTTTTAAGACCTCAACTTAGACATTTTGGAACACTTTGAATATGTATTTTTTATAAGAATATTATCCACTATTTATATAATAAGAAATTTATAGATTTATATATTTTCTTAAAATATTTAGTAATGAAGATGCAATGAAATTATATTTATGCATACATTATATTATATGATATTAAAAAGTAATTTGTGTTCTGCTCTCTCTCTCTCTCTCTCTCTCTCTCGCTCACTCTTTCTTCTACAAATATATTATTTATTTCTATCAGTATTAAGGATAAGTACACACATAATATATTTATGAAATACAGGGTAATCTGTCTCTCCCATGCTATAATGGAAACTAAAGAATGATACGTATATATGTATATGACGAAATACATTCATATGCATATTCTTATTCAACCTAAATATAAGTGAGAATGACTTTCGCGGTTTAAAATAAAAGTCTACCTTTTACTTATCACACATCGTTAACAATGACGAAAAAACAATTTAATAAAAATAGAAAAGGCTGTAAAATCTGTTTTATTTCTTACATCCGTAGAAAATATAAGATGAAATTTTAAAGGATTCAGAAGATTTTTTACATTGTCTGATCTTATATCATATCTTATTCATATTTTGAGAACAAAATTTATCCAAATTACTTTCTTCACTTTATATTAAATTTAATCACATTTTTATAAATCCTTAAAGATCCTTTAAGACTTCAATTAATATATAATTAGTATATAAAAAATCTTATATTAATTAAATGATCTTTATTATTAAAAAAATTCTATCAATAATTTTTAATGTTCTATTTTTAAGTATATGTTTAATAAAATAACGTGATTGAAATTATTATTTAAAAATTATTATAATTTAAAATTTCAGAGAAATATATACATAGATTCTTGAAGAAAAAATATATACCTTGACGATTGTTCGTTGAATGTTGTGAAATAACGAAAGCCATCCTCATCTTAACTCTGGAAGGTATAATAGATTGTGATCCAATACTGCGGGGCCCAACGGATTCATAAGACTATGTATAAAATTTAGACGGAAACAACTACTCAAAGATGAATATATCCTGGATGGCACAATTCCTGACAAGGGAATGCCTATCTGTTGATTTTCTAAATTGGAGCGCGTTATTAGGATGTAGAGTTTGGATGATTGTTGTAACGATAATGATTGTTTAAATGACCGACAGATAAATTATAACTATTCGTGTATTGGCCACCTCGAGACATAATTCTTGTTATCTAATTTATTCGTGCTTGCTTATTTTAAAATTATCAATTTGTTGATCAATAGTATTAAATAAAATGAGATATTAACGTTCTAAAATGTTTCAGAATAATCACATTGAATTAAAAAATGGACAAAATTTAAGCTTAACTTTAATTTGTTAGATATTTTAAAGCGTCCCCTTATAAAAGTATTTATTAATTAGTAGGATTTTCACATTTAAATAGTGAACGTAGTTTGTAATTGCATTTTCAACTTTGTAACATTATACGACCTTTTTTATGAAAATCGTTTTATTCTAATATAAAAATAATATAGCAATATTTATTTTCCTTATTTATTATGTTTATTATTTATTTATACCCATTCATTATGCTTAATTATATAAAGGTTCGTACTCTAAGTATTTTACGTTATATATATTTCATAAGCCTGCTATTGAATCTATCGTACACCTAATAAAATATTTATTTTGAAATATTGTAAGAAAATTAAAATATTTATGTATTATTTAAATGGATACAATGTGTTTTGTTCTTTCAAAAAATGTTTTACTGAATATGATTCAAAGCTCTTGAATCCTTACAAATCTTACTAATAATTTTAATTTAAATATTATTTTTCATATTTATTATAAATTATAAATTTACAATAAATTATACTATTTGTGTTAATTCATCAAAGATCGTAATATAATATTAATAACCTTTTCTATATATACTCCTTACACAATGTGATATGTATCTACATACTTCTCGCAACACACTTTATAAATTATTTTTAATCATTTCAAGAATAGATCTATCAATGTATACCATTAAAAGAAAATGTTTATATTAAGCAGATACAAATATTAAAATTTATTTAATATATCAATTTTTATACAGAAATTATGTTTAGCATGATGTAATTAATTTAATTAAGTAATGGTTACATGTTATTGATATTCTCTTTTAAAAAAACATACCTCTGCAATTTCTTTACTTCCATCATAATAAATAAATTGTTTAAACAATGATAGAATGCAAAGTATATTCAAAGTTTAAGAATTTTTTAAAAATTAACATTTTAATTCAAAATATTTCATAACAATTATTTCGAACATTATAATTATACCCTGTACAAACGTTGGAATTATTTTCACACCTCAAAATAACACAATATTACAATGCATCCAATTTATTCGAAATTATCGACGAATATTTTTTTATAAATAAATACAGTTTTAAGTTTTTCTTAAATTACTTGATTATTAATGATGTATTTCCATCGATATATAATATATTCGATAAAAATGATATAAATATGAATTAATAAGTTTTAAACAGTTTATTAGATGTTTTTAATTATTTTTATGTAAAATGCTTTTTTTTATAGAAGTGAATTTTTTAAATCTATCATGATAAAAAAATATTTTAGTTTTAATTTTTTCATTATTCTTATATTAATATGAATACAAAATATTATAATCTCAACTTTGCAAAATTCAATATTTTATAAACACGTGTATTAAATAAAACTTCCGCTCATTTCTAATTATTTTATAAACTTAAAATAAGCTAATAAAACGTAGTTTATTCGTAACATAAAACAAATGTTAAAATTCAGTATTTACTTTTAGAATTATTAAAATCTTTGATACTTCAGATTTATAAGTAAAAACTTGTTCAGTCCATTTTTTCCCAATATATAGAATAATATACCCCTAAAATTCAATT